TTTTTTTTTTTTTAAGGCTGGTAGTTCAAACCCATCAGCCACTCCTCAGAAGGAAGATTGGGCAAGCTACTTCTGTAGTGATACCGCCTTGGAAACCCAAGGTGGGGTGGCTGTGAGTTGGATCCAACTCGACAGCACATAACAACAACAACAACAACATATAACAGGAAAGAGAATCTCAGAATTGATTGGGTTTCTCTTTTTTATTTTAGCTACTGACAACCTCAAGATCCAATTTTTAGCTAAATTCTAATAACTAAAAAGAACTACATGTGAAGAATTTCTTATAGAATAAGACTATGATTATCTCACCTTCAGAAAAAATTAAAGTGAAAAGCATGCTGAGTGTTTTCATTTCTATGTAAGAATGTTTTCCTATAATTAGTAAATGGTCAGTGGACCACAAATAATTTTGTGCTGCTCATTGAAACTTGACCCCAGAAACATTTTGCTTTTAGTTTTCCATAACTAAATATGGTCTCCCTAAGCAAAATAAAATAGTGGGTGTCAGGGGTTATGCTTTGAGAGAGGTGGGCCCTAACCTGACGGAGAAGCCTCAGGGTTTAAGCAGCAGTAAAAATACTATGGAATACATCCTGCCTTCAGATGATACTATGAGAATCAACTCAAGACTGACAGCAATTGTGTCATATTCATTACCATGGAACTCCATCTATACTGTGGGAGAATACAAGGATTTGAGAACATCCTGCTTTGGGGCCTGTGCTGGGTGGTTTTGATACATATTTATTTATTTATTTATATCCTTTCTATATAATAAATAGAACTGCATACTATTAAGTTCCCAGTATATTGAACACTTAATTAAATTAATCCATGTGAGGACAAAGCAAACTAGCATGTAATATTTCCAGAGAGCAAATAAGTCACTCATAATAGATTGCCCCATCTTCCTTCCAAGGAATGGCTGGTGGGTTTGAACTGCCAGCCTTCTGGTTAGCAGTCAAGTGCCTTAGGCACTATGCTACCAGAGCTCCCTCATAATAGATATGGTAATCTTTATGTCATCTTTTTACTCTCACTGGTCTTGACATTCTTCTCTGATTTGTATCTTCCTTCATCTTATTTTCATTTGTTGTTCATAAGTATCCTTTTATTGTGTATATTCTTAGAAACCTCTGTAAATGTTTGTAGAATGAGTAAGCAATGGATGAATAGATGGTGGATGGGTGGATGACAGATAGGCAGACATGTAGACTAACAGATAGACAGATGACAATTCAAATAATACACAAGTAAATAGTATTGAATTCTTCCCTACTCATTGTTTCAAATTCAAGGCCTACATACTTAAACAATTTCTAAGCATGCAAGCACACACATGTGCACACCCACACACTCACACTCACAAATTCAAGCATTCACACAAATAAAACAAAGCAATAGAAATACCTCATCCTGTCCACTGCCAGCTCCTTGAGATTTTCTTTCTTGGTCCACTTCTGATTGAGGTTCATTATTAATCTGGTCCAGTTCCTCGCCATTTTCTTCATCAGTGCCTCCATTTACATGAGCAGGACCTGCCTGGCCCTCTGTGGGATCCAAGGTCTCCCTGGCTTGCTCAGGGTCATCTGTAGCTTCCTGGCTCCCTTCTTCATCAACTTCACCATTCATTTCTGAAAAATCTTTCTGTTCTGTATCCTTGTTTTCTTTCTCTCCAACTTCTTCCTCATCTACTATTTCTGCTGGTCTCTGAAATCAAAAGGAAGAAGTATAACAGAGTCTTTTCCATAGAACCCTAAAATGAAACAATAATTACTATACTACAGGCAAGTAAAACTTCTTTAACTTTACATCATACTTCACAGTATTTAATAGGTTAACCTTTACTGAGTATCTACTATGTGATACCCTTCACAGTATTTTCTCTTTTCATCCTCACAACAATGATGTGAAGTCATTATTATTCCCATTTTAAGATGAGAAAAGTAAGGCACAGCCTTACTAAGTATCTAGTCCCAGCTCTCACTGTGTATGAGTGGAAGAGTCAAGATTTGAACCAAGCATGTAACTCCAGAACCAAGACTCTTAATTCTTGTGTCAGACAGGAAATTGAACCACAGTCTTGTGGGCAACATCTGGGAGTGTCTAGCCCAGAAGAGGAGGTAAATAAAGGCCTCTGTAGAAAGATTACATCCTTACTTCTAAGGGTGATGGATGACTCCAAGATACAAACCAGGTTTTCCGACATGGAATGTGAAAAACTTCCCACATGATGCCTAAGAAAGCATCAATATATTTTTACATACAAAAACCGATTGTCAAGGAGATCCAAGTCCAAGAAACTATGTGTCCTTTCTATAAAAAATAATAAATGATAAAATATTTTTATAAACTCAAATTAGGCATTTTTCACTGTTATTTGGATACATGTAAATCTGTTAGATGCTGAATTCCAGAGCCAAAATTTTGGAGGAAGATAGACACAGGTTCAAGTCTGGCCAGGCACTTACTGACTATTACCTAGCTTCTTCGATTTTCAAATTCTTTACTTGTAAAATGGGAATATAATATAACATCTGCAGGTATTAAATACATGTGAAGATTGTTAAAATGGTGCATTTTGTTATATATGTATGACAACAAAAAATCGAAATAAATTAAAATTTTTAATTAAAAGTTGAAAATAAATGATAGGAAAAAATGAGATAAGTTGTGTAAAGTGCCTAGCACAATACCTGGCACATCACAATCCAAAAAAAAAAAAATTTTTTTTAAACTTTTCCTGTTTGCTGTGATAATTCTCTCCTGGAATGATTATATTTCTTCATTTTCCCCAATTAATTTTTTTTTTTTAATATAAGGTAGAAAGAACACAGAATTTTTCCTATTGGTAGAACCCCAGACCTGCCTCTTCCTAAGTGTCTGATTGTTGTGCAAATTACTTAATCCTCCAGCCTCTGTAAAATGACCTCCCTTTCAACTCGCTTAATCCTCAAATCCATTCTCTTCTAATTGCCCAAATAACAGTTATATCATCACTAATGGCCTTTTTGGCAAAAGTTAATATAATGCTCTCAGTTGAGAACTATTAAACCATTAAAAAAATTCCATCAATTCTGACTCATAGTGACCATAGGACAGAGTAAAACTAGCCCATAGCATTTCCAAGGCAGTGTAATCTTCACCAAAGCAGAGTGCCACATCTTTCTCCCATTAAGTAGCTGGTGGGATCAAACTGACAACCTTTAGGTTAACAGCTAAGCTCTTAACTACTGTGTCACAAAGGCTCCCTGGGATAACTCACTGCCTTCAAGTGGATTCCAACTCATAGTGACCCTATATAGGACAGAGTAGAATTGCCCCCATAGAATTTCCAAGGCTATAATCTTTAGGGAAGCAGATAGCCACATCTTTCTCTCTAGGAGCCACCAGTGGATTTGAACCACCGTCCTTTTGGGAAGAGGAAGAAAATAAAGGAGAGTAGGCTACATTTTTTTAAACAAATGCACAAGAGCCAAAATATGGCCTTGAGTATATCCCATTTGAATTTAGAGATGATCTCAAGAACAGATTTGACACATTGAACACTTGTGACCAAAGACAAGTTAAGTTGTGAAAAGACATCAAGGACATCATACATGAAGAAAGCAAAAGGCCATTAACCAGACAGGAAAGAAAGAAAAAACCACAATAGATGTCAGAAGAGACTGAAATATTCTCTTGAATGGAGAGTAACTAAAGTCAATGGATAAAATGATGAAGTAAAAGAGTTGAACAGACAATTTCAAAGAGTATCTCAAGAAGACAAAATAAACTTTATAATGAAATGTGCAGAGACCTGGAGTTAAAAAAACTAAAAGGAAAGAACACACTCAGCATTTCTCAGTCTAAAAGAACTTAAGGGAAAAATTTAAACAAGTCACAATATTGAAGGATTCTATGGGCAAAATATTGAATGATGTAGGAAGCATCAAAAGAAGATGGAAGGAATACACAGTCACTGTACCAAAAAGAGTTGGTCAATGTTCAACCATTTCAGGAGACAGCACATGATTAAGAACTGATATTAATGAAGGGGGAAGTCCAAGCCCCAGTGAAGACACTGACAAAAAACAAGGCTTCTGGAATTGACAGAATACCAGTTGAGATGTTTCAACAAAGAGATGCATCTTTGGAGGTGACTGCACATCTATGCCAAGAAATATGGAAAACAGCTACCTGGACAACCAACTGGAAGAGATCTGTATTTCTGTCCATTCCAAAGAAAGGTAATCCAACAGAATGTAGAAATTATAGAATAATATCATACACAAATAAAATTTTGCTGAAGGTAATTCAAAATAGCTGCAGCAGTGTATTGACAGAAATTCAAGCTGGATTCAGAGAGAAAGTGGAACAAGGGATATCATTCCTGATATCAGATGGATCTTGACCGAAAGCAGAGAATATCAGAAATAGGTTTACCTATGGTTTCACTAAGTATGCAAAGGTATTTGACTGTGTGGATCAAACAAATAATGATTTAACATTTAGAAGAATGGGATTTATAGAACATTTCAATGTGCTCATGCAAAACCTGTATATAGACTAAGAGGCAGTCTTTGGACAGAACAAGGGGATACTACTTGGTATAAAATCAGGATACTTCTTGGTGTACATCAGGGTTGTATCTTTTGCCCATACTTATTCAGTCTGTATGTTGAGCAAATAATAAGAGAAGCTGGACTATATGAAGAAGAATGTGGCATCAGGATTGGAGGAAGTCTCATTAACAACCTACAATGTGAAAATGACACAACCTTGCTTTCTGAAAGTAAAGAAGACTTGAAGCACTTATTGATGGAGATCAAAGACTACAGCCTTCAGTATGGATTTTACTCTTACATTAAAAAAAAAAAAAAAAAACAGAACACTCTCACAACTGGACTGATAACAACACCATGATAAATGGAGCAAATACTGACATTCTCAAAGATTTCATTTTACTTGGATCCATAATCAGTACCCATAGAAGCAGCAGTCAAGAAATCAAATGTCATATTATATTGAGTAAATATGCTGCAAAAGATCTCTTCGAAGTGTTAAAAAGCAAAGATGTAATTTTTAAGATTAAGGTGCCTTTGACCCAAGAGCCATGGTATTTTCAGTCACCTCATAAGCATGTGAAAGCTCAACACTGAATAAGGAAAACCAAAGAAGAACTGACACATTGGAATTATGGTGTTAGCAAAGAATACTGAAGACACTGTGGACTGCGAGAAGAACAAACAAATTTGTCTTGGAAGAAATACAGGTAGAAAGGAAATGATGGTAAAACTTCCCTCATGTACTTTAGACGTGTTATCAGACTAGTCTCTGCTGAAGGACTACATGCTTGGTAAGTAGAGAGTCAGTGAGAAAGAGGAACACCCTCAATGAGATGGACTGACGCAGTGGCTGCAACAATGGGCTCAACGATCGTGAGGATGGCGCAGGACTGGGCAGTGTTTCGTTCTGTTTAACTCAGGGTCACTATGAGTTGGAATTGACTTGATGGTGTCTAATAACAACAGGTTAAAAAGTTCAGGATAAAATTCAACACATTATCATTTTGAAGAGGAAAGAATTGGAACTATAAATTCCTATATTCCGTCAGAAACAAAAAAAGCTCCAAATATCATTGTATTATATCAAAGATGCACTTTTAAAAATGCAGAGGGAAAAAAAAATAGTTGCACTTAAGGTATTCTGAGAACCATAGTGTTTGGCATCATGCAAGATTAAATAGCAGTGCAGTGAAGCAGATCATTCAAATTTTTAATCAGAAGTTTAATGTCAAACACCATTGGGTCCTGGCTATTCTCACCACGCAGCACAAGGGAAAGCCCTCATGCGTGCTGAATGCTGGGGCAGAAATGCAGGGCGGGAGCGGATGAATCTGCCAGCAAGAAAAAAAAAAAAAAAAAAATGCAAGAGACGTATGAAATGTAATCCCCAATGCCTGGTAAGTATTTTCTGTTTGTGTGTGTGTGTGTGTGTGTCTGTGTGACCAGAGTTGCTGGTTGGCACAAATGCATTAGAATACTAACTGAAAGCATGATGGCTCCAGTCCAATCAGAAGCACCATGGAACAAAATATTGGTATTGATAACATTGTCCTAGTGATCTCCTTCCAATAAGTCACGGCCATTGAAAAATTATGGTGCACAAATCTATTCTGAAACACATGAGGTCACCATGAGTACAATGGTGACTTTTTTTTTTTTTTTTCTAATGTGTGCTACCTAAAGGAGCTCAGAGCATACTGGATAAGGAAGACATGCAGCCGGCTCTCACTGTCCGCATAGTTATGGTCTGTAAAGTCATTGTGGAGACTGACTTAGTGAATACTGAACCATTACTCCTAAGGGAAATAGAGGGTTCCATCTGAAAACAAAACATTTCTACATTTTTATTACAGACTTTTGGTGTAATTTGGGAGAGAGCATTATAAAGACTTTTAGGCAGAGTACCTATATGACAAAAAGCCAGAATTACTGCAGCAATAATGGCTCATAAGAGCAGATATCTTTTTAAATTCCCTTTGAGTACTGGGTAATCATAAATCACTCTCCTGGAAATGGTTTATATTCTTATTGTGCCTAAACTTGCCTTATTCAGAGAAACTTTTGTTTTGGGTTCTAAATAGAGTTACACAGTGTTTCTTAATTTTTCAGAGTCATTATTATTAGTATATTTTATACTATTTATGTTGTATGAAAGGAGTCCTG